AGAACTTATTTCAGACTTAACTAAATTTGAATGCTATGATAACGATGATGTTAAACAAATTTATGGTCATAAATACATATTTTTAAATATATGTATTATATATATGAATATAACCACTCTATCAGTGTCATCCATTTCTCACTAATTACCTTCAGTATTGATACAATGGATTCATGTTGTTCCAAGAACCTAATATTTCATTTTTATTTGCTTAGTTTTATAAGTTCACTTGAGCTTAAAGCAGTCTTACTAGGCAGCTGTCTGTAGACTCCAGCCATTAGCCAACATCAGTGTTACAAATGATAAAAAATATTCTGAGGACAAAAGTTCAGCTAAATGGTTTTTACCACTATCTTTGTTGTTTTGTAGTGCTGCTGCTATTGTTATAATGTCTGTGTGTGGATTATGATTTTTGCATAGAGAATAGGAAATGCACAGGCTGCAGAATTGCAACTGTTAACAGCCAGTCATTTCATCTAAACTCTACACTCCACACTGTTCACTGTCCAGAACAACAGGGTGAGCCATCAGCTCCAAGCCACCCAGCATACTACTTATACCTGTTCAAAGATTTATTTGGGAATTTTAGAAATCATTTTCAGTTATACATTGTTGTGGCTTTTGATATTCCTTTGAAAATTATCATAGAAGTCACTGAAAGATTAAAAACCTTTACAGGGAAAAAAATGGACCAAAAAACTATGCTTAGTCAAGCATATTCTTAGTGGTTAATTCTGCTTTTAATTTTCTTTAAATTATCTTACAAACCTGTTTGTTATTTTTAAAATGTAATGCAAATACTTCTTGTGTATAAGAATATAAATTACTCACAATGGAATTCAACTAATTCTGTCCCAGACAGGCCCATACTAATCCCTTCTCAGTCTACTCTTGGTGATACTTTAAATTCCCGTTAGACCCATTAGAACACACTAATGGCACCTTCTGTTAAGTTAAATAAAATCCTTGGCACATATCCGCCTGGTATCCCTTAACGTCAGGGAATAAGAGTAACTACATTTTCAGGGTAATCTCAATACAGGAGATCACACCACAGAACCCAGGACTCTGTATGAGGACTAACTGCAGACATGAAATCACCAAACAGTGCTTCTTTGTCCATCTCCCTCTGTTACATTTGGTCTCCCTCCTGTTGGGATAAGTCAGGAGTGCCTGGCCATGCCAGTGAAGATGGCAGGAGCCAGGCCTGCTCCATTCTCTTACCCAACAGCCCCCAGGCAAAACTATTAAGTCGCTAATCCCTTAATCCTAACTGGGTCTCTTGTAGATCATGTGACCAGTGGACAGGAAAAAGGCCAGTAGCCTTAGAAACCCCTCCCCTCCCCCTACCTGCCAGGCTGCCAGAAAACCAACTCCACCTCTTTGCCTGGGAAACTTTCCTATATAAACCTCTGCTTCCACCACAATAAACGAGCTGTCCGCTGACACAGTCTCCTGGGTGTTTTCTCCTGTTGTACTCGCCGCCACCCAAGGCCCCTCTTGCCCCATCGGTCTCTCTCCTCACCCCAACCCTCCATGGGGACTGTTGCACAACAGTCTCCTGGTAGCAGCAGAGTTCAGGCTGAGGGGAGGCCAACACCCTCCAGCTACACTGAAGATACTTAACCATCTGACAGGGTTACTGTGAGGACTGACAGAGACAGATATAACATTTGGCACCATGCAGAGCTCAAAATGCTAATTGACTTTAACTTACAAAACACGGTACTATGTTAATTATATTCCTTTTTAAAAATATCTTAGCACCCAGCAGAGCTAAATACTTTCAGTGGGAAGAACTACAACTTTTGAAAAGATATCATTGATTTCTTTAATAGCTAAAATGTTATCAGTACTTTTTTCCAAGGTCACCTTCTAGAAACGTTCTCTCCAATAAACCTCTCATCGTCTTACAAGGCAGCTCCTCAGAAGGACTTAATCTGCTGGCCCAGTTTTATCAATAATTACTAGAAGTATGAAGTCTGTCTTCAATACTTGAGTATAAATCTTTAAAAAAGGGCACTGAACTAAAAAGTTGAGGGGAACTATCTGAATCTTGTAAATATTATAAATATTACCCTTGCCCACTGAGGTGATGGCTTATTAACTTCAACTTGTGGTAAAACTTTTGTGGGGGATCTTTGAAACAGGCTCTCAGTATGTAGCCCCAGCTGGCCTTAAACTCACTATGTAAAACATCCTGGGCTGGCCTCCAATTCACAGCAATCTGTCTGCTTCTGCCTCTCCTGGGGATTAATGGTGTGTGTGTGTGTAGTGTGTGTGTGTGTGTCTGTCTGTCTGTCTGTCCACACCCAGTTTGTGTTAACACTTTCAATAACTCAGACCTCCTCAAATTTGTTTTCCCTGGGATCTGACAGTTGACAGTTGGTATTTTAATTTGTAATCCTGTTTTTGAACTGCAACTCCAGTCTACTAATAGAATAATTTCTTTAGTTCTGAATACTGCTATACCTTCTGAGTTTAACACTTGAGTGTATGAATGCCTGTCTAGTTGGACCCTTAGCCTACTTCCAAGCTGAAGCAGGCCACCCAGATTACTCCAGTGAGTAGGGTAATCCCAGAGCCACACATGTCTCCTCAGGGTGCTAGAGTTCTGGCATTGCCCAGCTGCTATTTGTTGGGCAAAAAAAATTTCACAACTCCATGTTGGGACAATAGAGCTTGAATAGCCATCCTTAGCATCTGGGCATATGCAGGACATTAGCTGTGCCCCATCCTCAGCTGAAAAGCATCTGGATTCCAGTGGGTCCACAAAGCTAGACTCCCTTCCTGTCCCTTCAAGGTGCTTCATCTTTAAAGCAAAAGTGAGGTGTGCATAATCTTAAATTTCTTCTAAAGTTTCACTTAGTCTTCTAAATTTCACAGTGCTACAATATGTATTTTTTGAAACGGGGTCTCATGCTGTAGATCAGAGTGGTCTGAAAATCACTACAAGATCTTTTTTAATGCAAGTCTTGTGGGAAATAAAAACATTCTTTAAATATTTAAGAGCAAAAATTCATATATTTCTACAACTTATTGAAATGTTTTATAAAATACATCAAAATCAGTTACCTCCTTAGTATATGTGCATGTTCCTCTACAAATAAGGACTTGATGTAATAACCAGCAAATAACGCCATCAACAATTCTTACCCATGCTGTTTTCTACGTCTTGATAATGTGCTAGGTCTGGAATACAACCGTGAATGCAGCACAGACTCAGATCTCAGAACTCTGCGTGTGCATGTGTTCACTTTAAGTTCATTACATATCACTTGTTATTAATTCATGACTGTAGCTTCAGCTTCATGTTCCCGGTGTTACTGGGGCCACTGAGGACATTGATGCTGTATTGCTGCCCCAAACACACACCACATGCCTCGCATTTCTAAACTTTTTGTTGTTATGCTATTCCCCCCAATTCTTTTGTGTGCCTAAAGATTACGATATATTTTTCTCTATGTCTCTGCCCTAAAGAATGAGAGCTTATCTGTTTAAACATTTTACCACTGCTTCCTCACGTGAAGGAAGATAAAAATATACAGGAAAAAACACTGATTTGCATCATAAAATCCTGGCATGATAAATATTATATACCAGTAATCAAACAAATCACCTCCTTGCTCCCAAGTTCTGATACATTAGAAAATAAAGAAGTAATAAGACCACAGTAATACATTAACAATTATAAGTAATAGAATGGTTATATATAATAAACCCTTAATTCTACCATAGTCCTTGATATACAATAGGTGCAAAATTAATACTAATTCTTCTCCTTTAGCATTTCTCCAAAATGGCTTTTTTTATTTCATAACAATATCTCACTGCTCACCACAGATGCTTACACAGTATGACTTCCACACTTCAATTATTAGGAGAGCATTGTTTTGATGAAGAAAGGGCATGTGTTACATAGACAAATAGTCTTTTTATGGATTTAGGACTCATGCTGAACAGAAATCAAAGATAGCCTTTCTGTATTTTCTTTTAGTACAATGACTGATTTGTGTTATTTTGACACTTACATGTGTTGCTCCAGGAATTTACTCATTCTGCTTTTGAGTCAGTTCTAGACAACAGAGTATTAAATTTTATAAAATTCATTTCTATACCATCACTGAGTAGAAGGAATCTTGAAAGACTTTCCTAATATCCAGACAATATACTACAATTATTCAAAAGTGTGACTCATAGTCAAATGTATTTGAGCTTCTTTATGTCTTATTTATATCTAAGTATATATCTCTATTAAGCAGGTAAACATGCAAAAAAATTGTCCAGTTCTTCACAGCAATGTTCTTTGAACTTGAAGAGAATGTTCAAGTCACTGTTTTATCTATTCCAAGCTACTTTAATTTTCCTCCAGAGAATACTTTTCTCTCTTGACATTTTGAAATTTTTTAAAGATTATAATTTCTAGGAAAATACTAGATGACCAACATAGTAGTGAGCTGTCTGTTTCATGAGAAAATGGTGAATACTAACCCATAGAAGTGCTTGACACATGATTGGCTGTTCAAAGGGAACCAGGGCAGCATATTGGCACAAGACACTAGAAAGCTGCAGTGGAGATCTTTCCAGCAAACTTTTTATTAAATCCGTACTTAATAAAGGAAGCAATTTAAGACTACGTTTATTCCATCTGTTCACTAATACATTCACTATATTACACACATAGTTAACAATAGCTAAAAAGACATAATTCTTAGCCTAAGCATAGCTTTACGGCCAGGTCAAAGAAAGTCAAAGATACAGGAAATTATGTAAGTTTAGAACAAAACCACATAAAAACTTGTACTGAGAAAATTAAGAGCAAAGCAATGAAGAAAACCAAATCAGTTTCCTTTAAGACTGTGTTTTCAAGGGCACACACATTTTGAAAGAGTAAGAAACTCCTGGACGTTATCTAGCCTATGTGTCAATCCCATGTGCTTCCTCTTTTTGTGGGAGAACATATTGATAGAAAATGGGTGTGGAATCATTAAAATTATAAATCATCTTTGTTCATTACTGCCTTCAAAATCTTTTAAATTCAATTGGTTTTCCTCTTCCCAAATGAAAAGAATTTTACCTCCAGAAACATAATGTATTTCTAGCATATTTCCATTCTTGCTTCTCAAGGTTGTCTCAGGTTGGCAAATACCTAACAGGCAAGTTTGACCAAGCAGTTCAAAGAAGAAATGACCATTAGTATTTTCCCTTACCACTTGGTTAAGATTTTTTCTTGAGTTCTGGAACCCATTAGTTAATAAGTTGTTATTTTCATCAACTGTTTCAGAGATATTTGTCCAATTGATATGCTTTTGTGTATTGGAATTCACACCCCTCTCAATTAACAAGGATGTATGCAGGAAATCTAAACAAAAAATTTTCTTTAAATATGACTGAAATTTCTTTAAATTGATCTCTTCCTCTAAATTTGAAAAGTTAATGCCTTTGTGTTTCATTCTTTTGTTCATCAAGTCGCACATGTTCTTGAAACCAAGTTGATCAAATGGGTCACCAGTGGTGTTATCAGCAAGTCCTTTGTTCACACTCACCTTATTCTTCTCATCCCTGGACATGCTTTTTTGGCACTGTAGCAAAAATGGGTATATTTTCCTCCATAAATGGAAACCCAAAGAATTTTCAATATCAGAATCTTTACAATAAGCAAATCCTCTCTGTTCCTCATTTACAGGTTGAATAGTAACAGTAAGTATTGGGCAATGCTGACCACAAAGAGCATAAAGTTTATCCAAAGAGTCACCTTCCTGAAGTGTACCTTGAGTCACATGACTGCCACGTAATGGTTGAGTTTTAATAGTATTGTCAGGAACAGGGTGGACTTTATTACCAGCAGGTGCAAAGGCTTGCGTGACAGACGTGCACACTCTTTCAGACCGATGGTTACCCCGCTCCTCTGTATGCTGATTTGGTATTTTCATTTTGCCGCAGATTCTATTCTTCACATCTAGAACATCTTCACAAAAAGGTTCAGAGTCACTAGCATGAAGCAAGTTAAAATAATTGCATTTCCGTTCAAGTGGTTCAGTCATTTCCTCCATTTCTGAAGAGGATAGTTCAGTCATTGTTGGGCCAGGGGCTAAATTTCCAAAATGCGAACATGGAGCCCCAACGCTGCTGTTATCAGGTAGGGTGTCCGCTGAGGTCGTGTCTGTATTGACATACACACCAGGATTGTCAGGTGACACCCTCAGCAAGTGGTTTTCCCACAGGAGCCATTTACCAGTGTCAATCAGCTCTCCTTTCTCCTTGTCCACGAGGACCTTGTCATGGTCGTTTTGTTCAGTTCTGTGCTCTGCAGTGCTGCCCCCATAACTGTCCCTCATACTCTTACCATCATATTTACCTTGTTGTTCCTCCTGAAACTCCTGCAGCGTAGGTGAACTCCTAGACATCTGTTCAGATGAGACAAATGACTGCCCTTCAGAATCATAAAACCTTTCTTTCCTAGCACACTGGCTGTCCATAAAATTACAAGGACAAACTCGAGATCTGTGTGGAGGCCCATGAAGAAAGGCTGGTTTCATAGTCTCTGCCTTCCTGCAAAGCTTTTCTACCGTCCTTTTAACAAACCCTCTGTGGTATTCCTTCTCCTGGGTGAGCTCATCACCATCACTGCAGTCATTGCTGGGTGCTCTGTGTGGCTGCTCACTCTCACTGTCTGCTCTATAATCTGACCAGTCTGAAGTCACTGGACCTTTGAAACGTTTTGTAAAATCAAAAGAGGAATCCATACAATTTCCATTTTCCATGATTTTTACCATCATTTTAACTCTCATGTTAGTTTCTCCTTCATTGATCTCCTCTTCAGTACTTTTATTAGAATCAGAGCAAAAAACTAATGATGGTGGTGTCACCTGCCTCATGCTAATTGTCTCAGAAAGCAGAATATTTCTTCTTTCCTCTTCTATAACATCCCTACACGGCGTGTTTATCGACTTGGAATGTGTCCTAGCCTCCGACTCTTCTCGAGTTGGCTTTTCAGCACTTAACTCTGTGTTATAGGTATCAGTGTCTTGATTTTCTAATTCTTCAAAAGATTCTAATTCTGAAATATTATTTATTTCACTTGCTATCACACTGCTGGTTATTGAGCCTGGTTCTTCAGAGGCCCTCGATTCTTCCTTATCACAGGACATATATTTCTTTTTATCCTGAATTTTCTTTAATGAACAATTTTCAAGTTCATCTAAAGAACTATGGTTCTTACCAAATTCTGGGTCAGTTCTATTTAGGAAAGGGTCACAGGAGCTTAAGTTACTCACATTTTGATGTGATGGTGATACGTTAATGTCATTTTTACACCCAGTGTCTGTCAAAACGTTTGGATCTTTCTGAACTTCACCAACTGTTGTTAACTCTTCAGTTAATTCCAAGTTATCTGTGTATTTGTTTTCTTTGGAATTCAAAAAGTCAGTGGTATTGCAGACGCTGATGGGAATGTGGGTGTCCTCAGTCCAGCAAGGGGCTTCATAGATGTGGTTCTCCTGAACATAAGTGTCAGAGGAACACCCTGCATCAGTAAGTAAACAGGGCTCTCCTAGGAGGCAAGCATCATTTGTGGAGGGCTGGCCCACAGTACAACTATCACTAGCAAAGAAAGCATCACTAGGGTCACATGCCTCTTCTGGAGGACAAGTCATACTCACAGAGCACATCTCACATGGAGAGTCACGTGGCTTCTTCACTTCTGAATCACAGCGCTCAGGGTCACAGGCCTCCCTGGCCCAGCAGCCTTTGTCCAATAGGATTTTCTGAGTTCTTTCACTTCCTCCACACCTGGGAACTCTCTGGATGCCGGCTGTGGTACAATTTTCTGGAAGATCTACTGGAGCCATGTCTTCTCTCTCACTGGATCCACTGAACTTTCTGGTTGATTCTGCTAAACTGGGAACAGCAGCCTTTAAGTCATCAGCTTCCTCTGTGATGGGGATGTGCTTTAGAACCTCGAAAAGTGCAACTGTTTCTGAAGATCTGCTCACAGTCTTGTGTGAATCCCCTTGGCAGAAGCTATTCATACTTCCCTTTAGAGTCAGCACCAAAAGCCAGGCTAGAAGGAGATTAGCAGATGAATGACATACTCCAGAAGGGCCATCTGCAAAGGAACCTGGTATTTGAGCAATTCCAGTCTGATTCTTGTGGCCGTCAGGAACTAAAACTTCCAGGTGGTGAGGCAACAGGGCCGGTAAGTGGTCTTTCGAAGCATTCTCTCCCAAGGCGTCCACCTGAACGGCAGCCGTTACACTTTCCCCCTTTGGAACTAGGTTTATTTCTTGATTAATAAGGCTCATTTCGGCGCCTGACTTTTCAGTAGACAGATGACTTTTACTATTATGATCACTAACAACTGTCTGTGACAAAATACTATGTTCATGCTGACTCTCACAGAGATGTTTAAGTTGTTCACCATTATCTTTAGCAAAAAGAGATTTACCCACCTCCCCACATAGATTATTGTCAGCCCAACTGGCATTTTTAGTTTTCTGCTTATTACTTTCCATGACAAAATTCTTTCCTTTCGAAGAGATTATATGGAGATTATTTCCTGGAAAATCATTACTGTTATAATTTTCCACATTTCCTTTATGTTTGCGTAGCAGAGCTGACTCCCTATGCACTAGATGTGGATATGGATTTACATTCTGCAACCATCTCTGTACATAATTTTGAATTGAATGATGAGGAACACCCTTGGGAAAATCAGCCATTTTCAAAGAAGCTAAAGAGTCTTCCGTGGTTGTAACATGCTGTTTACTGACTGTAGCACCTACCTTCGATTTATCTCCATTTTGTTTTTTCTGGCTTTTTAAAGTTATGTGTGAGTCACTAACATTAGGAACTAAACTCTTTTTTGCCGTTCCTCTCAAAGTTCCAGATACTATTTTTACTTGAGACTGTGGTACATAAGAAGCTTTCAGTTTTTGCTCAGAAAGGTTAAACATATGAAGAAAACTTTGATTTTCCAAAGTACTTTTATAAAATTTAGATTCACTATGGAGAAACACTTTGTTAGCTTGACCAGTTCCTCCTCTTCTAGGTCCTCCTAAGCTTACCTTCCTTACTGCTCTGGATTTTCTTTTGGCTAAAAGTCTTTGGGTCTTAGGAATTTGAATAGTATTTAATTTATTTTTATGGAGATTTTTGGAAACTGGGGGATAGAGATTACTCTTGGAACAAAAATGATATGAGTCAATTATCATATCACTTGAATCAAGGTCTTCCTCATAAAGTAGCTCCCCTTTAAGGCAACTGTCAGAATCTTGCAAAATCATCTCCTGTGCAAGTATTCCTTCTTTCTTTATTTTCTCGTTTTTATTAGCATGTCCTTTGGTTTCAGTCTCTCTCTTATACCTGGTATTTGCCATTTGCTGCTGAGATTTCTTCTTCTTTTTGCCAGAGAACGAGGACAAAACCTGTTTTCCGTTTTCTGGAAGTTCTGCTAAACTACACCGAGCAACTTCATTAACCAGTTTGTCCATTCTTGTGAGGACAGTAGAGGACCCTCCTGAAGAAACCTCAGAAATACTTTTGTCAGTTCCAGAGTTGTTACTTGAGGAGTGAGCTGTGTCTGCTAAAGTAGGACTGAAACTGTCATTGGTGTTGTCAAGAGTTCTGAAGTTCTTGATACCCAGTTTATCTGATATAATACTATCAATCCTACCTTCCTCCACAGTTGAGTTCTCTGGTGCAGTTGATGGTAAAGCATTGTTATGGCACATCTTTAATGTCTTCTGGCTTGTACTTTCTACAACACCTGCATTTATGGCTTTTGACTTGAAGAGTGCACTTTCCTTTTTCCTTTCTATTGATACATCCATCTGGTCATTGTTATTGATCTGAACAAGTTGATTAGATACTGAGGACATTTTACTGCAAGAATGTGTAAACATGTGATACTCAGATTTTTCTCTACTCTCTCTTTCTTCACTATAAGAAAACTGCTTCTCTTGAACCTCTGTTTCAGATACTAAGGTCACACTCCCTGTCACAGATTTCTTTTGTCTTGTTCTCCTTGGTCCAGGAGTTGGAGGCCTATAAAAATGATGCTTCATTTTTTTCTGACTTCCCTGAATGACGTTTGTGTCCACAGCAGCATTCTCCCAAGTAGCAGAACTACAAGTTTCAGTCTGTCGATCTGTCACTTGAGTGCTTTCTTCCTCTGCAAAATTATCCTCTTGCTGAGTACTTGTGACACCCGCAGATAACGAACATGCTGCAAGCTCCAAAGTAGACGATCGCTCATCTGTTATTCCCGGATAACTACTTATCTTACTCTTTTCATCATTATTAGAAAGACCGGCTCTATTGACAGTGGTTGTCCACTTTATGGTTTCCTCTTCTTTTATCTTGACTCGAACTTTCATCTCAACTGTCATAGTACCATCTTGATTAAAAATAATTGACTTCTCAATACCATCTTCAGAAGGATATGCTGAAAAATTCTGAGAATCTTGTTTTCCTAAGGCCAAGTAATTGTCTGGAGCAAACGAACAGTCTGAACAGCAATCATGTGTTTTATCAGAAGAAAGAGAGTAAATCTGGGGTCTTGGGATTGAAGGCTTATGTGTGTTCACTTTCACGATTTTAAGAGTAAAAGACACCATGTGAAAATATAATGTGGAAAGCAGAGAAGTTATAAGTATTCCATGGAAGAGGCAGCAAAGAAGGAAGAAATAGAGAAAAATTAGTACCAAAACCACCAGTTTTCTGTGTTTTACAATAAAATGTTAACTGCTATATTTATAAACTATGTAGCCAATAGTTTTTTGAGAAATCCTACTACACCTTGCACTGTATTTTTTCAAACCACTAGTAAAAAGTAAACTATGTTTCAATGAAGACATTCACAGTGTTTTAATTTTAACAAATATATAAAGTACAATGTATAAAGTAAAAATTACTAATAATTATGTAGAGAAAACTGTTTTTCTGTGAGTCTTGTTTACCAGTACTAAAACTAGACTCTAATAAAGCTCTGTTTCCCTGTTTAAGAAAGGCAGGCAAGTAACAGCTAATGGTGGCACTTCATCCGAGTACATACAAGATAGACATCCGCAGCATTATAACACAAACATGTTTAGTCCTTGATTCTTCAAATAACATTTAACATTTTCTTTGTATAATCAGTGCACTTGATTTAATATATACTTTAGAAGAAAACAGAGTTGGAAATAGACTCAGATATTATTTTTTATTTTTATTTTTATGTGTATGAGTTTTACCGGTATGCATGTAAGTGCATCTATGAATCTAGTGCCCATGGAGGTCAAAAGATGGGTGTCATGTCCCCTGGAACTGGAGTTAGGAATGACCCTTAGTTGTCATGTGCGTACTGGGAACTCAGCTCCTCTGCAAAAGCAGCCACTTTTCTTAACTGATGAGCCATCTCTCCAGTCCCATCAGATATTATTTTTAATGTATATTTTTATCAGTAACTTTGGCACTTCTGCTCTCAAATTTAATAAAATTCTTATCACTAGTCTATATGGATTTGCACATGTTCCCCCTAAAGTAATCACCATGTCAAACCCCAAAATATTTTTATCCTTTTTTGTAAATAAAAAATCTCAGTCTTAATTAACTTTTTGATGAAATAAAATTTAACAGAGTCCTCATAGTCCCTAAAGTTATCAAAAATCATAATAAACAGCTGATAAAAGACATAAAAAAGCAAATCCACTTTAATAAAATGAGCATAGTTAAACAGTATATATATATGTATAACTAGATCAAGCAGTTAACACCTGCAAAATAGATGCATTATCAATTATGGTGCCTATGAAACAATTAAATGAAAATAATACATGATTTTAGCCCACTAGCAATAAGTACAAGGATTAGTACTTCTTAAAATGCTTATTTTTCCATGCCAAAAGAGAATGAAAATTAGAATTTAAATATAAATGGCAGTCAGCACAGAGCTCAAGCTTCCCTGGAAATAATGAGCACAGTGTAAACTGATGAGCCCACCCCATGCTCTCCAACTTCAAGACGCTCTTCCCCACATCTTCAACCAAATCCTAAACAATGAGCAGCCTAGATTATTGCTACCCACATGAACCACTTTTTAAATAAAAGGTGTCTGTGAGGATCTATGTTTTTTTTACAGGAATGCCTTTGGAGTGGAGAG